ATAAACATGAGCATATGATATGACCCAATTCACTCATAACAAATGCCTACCTGTTTTGAAATTTAATTATATTTAAAATTAATAAAAGGATTTAACTACTAAGAGTATATTTTTATCATAAATTTATATAAAAAAATATAAAAATTAATATTAATTTTTATATTTTTTTATATAAATAAATTTAATTAAATAATTAATAAATTAAATATCACTTTTTTATTTTTTTTTTTTAAACTTTGAATCTATATGCTTATTTGATATAATAGTTAAAATTTAACGAATAACGAGTTACAGATAGTGAATAGTAAATAATGGATGACAACTAACAGATAATAAGTAGCGAGTAGCAAGAAACCTGTAGCGGATAATAGATAATAGATTTAATTGATATAATTAAATGATAAAAACAATTAAATGTATTTTTTTCTTATATATATTTTATTATTAAAATGATTAATTTTATAAAAATAATAATAAGAAAATAAATAAAATAAATTATAATAATATAATCATACACTTATTCTATTTTTGATGAAGAAAAAATTATATTATTTTTAAATAAAATTTTTTAATTATTTAATCTAATCAATAAAATTTATTTATTAAGTTACTATATTTTTTATAATTTAATATAAAAAATAAAAATATAATAATTACTTAGTGTTATTAAAGATAAAAATAGAAATAAGATTAATTAAATAAATACTAATTAAAAATCATAGTTAAAAATTAAAAAATTAAAAATAATAAATTTGTTAACAAAATTAAAAAAATTTCAAATCCACTAATTTGGTGCAAAATTATCTAAATTAACCTTAATTAAGGGAAATGATTTTGGGACAATCTTTTTGTATCAACTTTTGGTATAATTCGATGTGTCATTTAAATAATTAATTTTTTTTTATTTTTAAGGCCCATAATATTAAATGTATTAACTTATTTGATATGTGAAAAATAATATAAAAAAATTACCCCTCTAGTACCGCTCTTTTTTTAATTTTGTTAACAGTTGAAATTCTAACACCATCCATTAACTTTAAACTAATAAATAAAAATTTGTATCAAATACTTTATTTATAATAATTTTAAAATATATATTTGTCAAACACTTACTTGATAATTTAATCAAAATTATTATCCTACCAATTTAATCGAAAGAGCAATGCTAGGAACACTCGCCATTTGCACTCTCTAACCAACAGGCAAAAACCCTCCGTTTGCCCTTCAACTTTTTGAGTTTGAGGCATTTTACCCTTCTTAGTACAATATATAGGTTTTTATCCTTCATATTTTCGAGTTTAAGAAAATAAGGCAAAATTTAACGTCGAAAGGTCACGTGTAGCACGTGCAACGTTAGTTTCTGTTATACGTTCACGTGTCAATGCCACATCATCAACAATGGCCCTATTTGTTGACTTACAATAATGACGTGGAAAAAAAATCATAATATGATAAAAAATGAAATTTCCTCTTCCCTTTCAACTTATGCAAATCCTAATATCTCAACCAATCTATTCATCTTTACCTGGGGTTTTTCATCATCATCAAACAATAAAACCCACAAAAAAAAAAAAGAGAATTTTTCTTTAATTTTTTGCCATTGGGTTCCCAAGCATGCTGGGTTCAAAGGAATCCAGTGCTTGGGTTCTTTGGAACCCAAGCATGGGTTCCATCAAACCCACTAACCCAGCGCTTGGATTCCTCGGTGGATCCAGCAATATGAATTCTCTTGAACTGAATTTCAAAAACTCCATTGGTGGATTCAGTGCTTGCAATCAGAAAAAGCATATTAACAACATTTACACATCAAAGATTAGTCAAGAAAAATTGGTGATACTTCTCTAAAAAAAAAAAAAAAACAGATTCGAGACCATTATACATAGATTTGGGACTCAAATTCATTGTATGAATTATGTAGAGTTCGAATGAAGAAAGAGATCCTACTAAATGTTGAATTTCTCCTCGTCGGTGGCAACGTTGGTGGCGACAGCAGCAGAAAATCAAACATTAAAATGAAATTCAAATATGAACTAGTAGTTGGGGATGGAAAGGAAGAATAATACCTTCAAGTTTGTCAAAGTAAACACCGCTTCTAATTCCACCTTCTCCTCCATTTTCTTCTAAATTATCACCGCTGCCATTTCTGTTCTCGAGCTCCACATCTCATTCCCTGTCATTTGCTTCTCCTCTTCCTTGCTCAACAGAAGCTTTTGGATTCAATTCTACCGTGATCAGCAACTGGCTCACTGCCATTAGTAATAGCAGAAGCTTTAGATTCAACATAGCCATGATCAACTGCAAGCGTGCTGGGTTCGAAGGAACCCACGCCTGGGTTCCATCGAACCTAACACTTGGGTTCCAAGGAACCCAGGCGTGGGTTCCATCGAACCCAAGCGTGGGTTTCGCTTGGGTTCCATCGAACCCAACGCTTAGGTTCCATCGAACCCAAGCATGGGATCCGCTTGGGTTCCAAAGAACCTACGCTTGGGTTTCAAGGAACCCAACGCTTACTGGGTTTGATGCTGTTGGGTTCAAGGGCAGAGAGAAAGGAAAGAGGAAGAAAAAAAAAAGGAGAAAGAATTTTTTTTTTATCATATTATGATTTTTCTTTCATGTCATTATTGTAAGTCAGCAAATAGCACTACTAAAATTTTGGGTTTTACCAACAATACATCAGCAATAAGGGATTGCTTGTTGCTAAAAATAAGTATCAACAACAAGCTTTATGTTGCTGAAAGTGCTACAGTGCACCAATCCATGCAAAAAGCTGCCCCACTTTCACCAATACACTTCTTGTTGCTGAAAGTAACTTTCAGCAACATACTCCATCTTGCTGATATTTTCCGGTGAATTCTTTGCCATTTAAATGAGCTGCACTTTTCAGCAAGGAACTCGTTGCTGAAATTCACTTTCAGCAACAATGGGCATGTTGCTGAAAGTGTCTCTCTTTTTTATCACCTCTTGCACTTTCAGCAACAAGCCTCTTGTTGCTGAAAGTGCTCCCAACTCCGGCCACCCCTTGCACTTTCAGCAACAAGGGACAGGTTGCTGAAAGTGTCCCTCTTTTTGATCACCTCTTGCACTTTCAGCAACAAGCCTCTTGTTGTTGAAAGTGCTCCCAACTCCGGCCACCCCTTGCACTTTCAGCAACAAGGGACAAGTTGCTGAAAGTGTCCCTCTTTTGAACACCTCTTGCACTTTCAGCA